TTGGTCTTATAATTAGTAATCTGGCGTTTTTTGCTCCGAATTGCCTCCTATACTTCCATACCTTTAAGCAGCACTGTTGGTAGTTATTTCTGAGTAGCTTCACCCAGAGATCCCCTACGGCTTTCAAACGTGAGCGTAACTTGCTTATTCGCTTGCTGCTGCGTTATCCGTTTTTGGAACATCAGAAGGAAAGTCATCTAGTGACCTCGAAACTTTCAATCTTCTTTACATTGCTATGATCATGGATAAGTCGATCGCACTCTTCTCGTTTGCTACTAACAATCTACATTCTTTTTTGAATAGCTTGAGAATCCCAATTTGCGATGGTTATGCAATTTGGTCTCGTTCCATATCCATAGAATTTTATTCTTCTTGTTCCATATCAAACAAAGGTTGTTCTCAGAATAGGCCAACGCTCCGATCCGGGGTAGATGTTCGCCATATCGGCAACATTTGTGAGACTAAACCTTTAATTCATTTTGGCTACCTTTAGTGGATTTTGAAGTGTGTGTGCTACCTTTTCTTCTTTATCAAAAAGTAATGTTTCTTTAATGAAGCGATGTACCGGACCTGGAAAAATCTTGAAGAGAACAACTGCATAGCTAGATGATCTTTGTCGCGGTGATGAACTCCGACACTCATTCATCCTGTACCATCTATTTTTGTAGGTCGTTCGTGATCTGACGCTTTTCAAATATTTTCTTGGTTTCAACCTTAGTCTTAAAATTGTCTGCAATAACCTAAAAGAATGTGTGGTCTTCCCTACAGAGTTTTTCCAAATCCGTAAAAAATGATTCGACCATGTCATCCTGACGGCATGACAGTGCGTGGACGACTAGGATTGTCAAAGTCGGTATTAGTTCAACAGTTGATTGAAGAAATAGATGTTCATGGTCAACCTCGGGTTGACAAGGGCGGCAACTCCGCCCTCTCTATTATCGCATGTTCCGAGAACAGTTCTTCTCCAGTGTCATAGACGGCGTTGAATGGGTGGCGTCTTCTCGTCTCTGCCAGACCGATGACGCCCTACCTTATCTTTCTCGCTTGCATGAGCATGTCTTCTATCGAGGGCTCGGATGCGAGTGTACGTGCACTGTAAGTACACATCATCATCATGGTTCTTTGTAATCCATGTGGCTTCCATTGGCCCAGAGATTTTAGCAGCCTCTCCGCACTCGTCCCACCCAACGCTGCGAAATTGGGGCTCTTTCGAGATCAGGGGAATGAGATCATTTTTTTTACTGTCTTTAGCATTTTGATGCCCACGTATAGCTTGGTGGGCTCTAAACGTGGGACTGGGTATACTCACGGGTAGCTTTCCAGGGAGCTTATTTGTTGGGTGCGACTCCTAACCGCCTCCCATATACCCCTTTGTCACAATTTAAACTTATTATTTACTGCTTACTCTTATTAACGATTTAGGCTCTCGAGATCAATTCCGCTGAAGGTGATTGCTGATGGAAAGGATCGATAAAACAAGCAGAGAGACAGGCCAAACGAGGAACCCGCATGGTGTGGCGGTGAACGTGTTACTACCAGAAAAGGACAGTGCCGCGTTCGTGCACCACCGCGGAAACCTGCGGTATAGAGTTTTGCAAATATCTCAGCAACAATAAAGTTATATTTCGCAATATATAGCTTGCCGTTAAAAAGAGTAGGCAGTAAATAATAAGTTGAAATTACGATTATAACTGCAGCCTCAGCTTAACTAGGCTCGTTACCGATTAGGGCTCCCAAGGTCAATCCTGTTGACGAGTGTTTGCTGATGGGAAAAGATCGATGGAACTAGCTGAGAGATAGGCGAAACGAGGGACCCGCATGGAATGATGGTGAACGCGTTAATCCCCGGAAACGACAATAGCACGTTCTTTTCCCACCGCAAACACCTGCTGTCCGCAGTTTTGCAAATATCTCGGCATCGTTGTGGTTGTACTTCGCATAAACAGAAGATTGTTCACACTTGACAAATTGTTAGTCCCATCATAATTTACTGGATCCGGTCGCCGTCTTCTCGGTGTGAGGATTCGATTCAGCCGTAAGCTGGAAAAGAATTCATGTCATCGATCACGAGGAAAACGTCATACTGCACATGACGAGAGCATTCTGAATGAAATCCTATACAGACACAATTGGCAGCTGCCTGTCGAAGGACTGAAAGGGTGTGCCGAATTCGCCTCTGTTCCGCAAGTAAGAGGATTGGATCGCATCTTTATTAACTTATCTTTATGAGCGAAAACGCACCCACACACGCATGAACACGCCTAGCAAATATAGAAAGTATATGCCCAATTGGCGCAGCAGAAACAGGGAGTCCATTCCCTGGATCCACCTGCATCTCAGGTAAGCAAAGGTCGCTTTTGATCAGCGATTAACCCCCTATCCGTCACCTGGGACGTGCCACGTAGCCTCGCAACTAACCGGCTTGAGGTCCCTCATATGATGGAGATCCGTGGAAACCCGTTTCGTATCCCTCACAAATCTGACTTGTGTGTAGCGTGGAGTTTATTTTGTTTCTGTTACAGCAGCAACCACGTAGAGAAGACGTGATAAGTTTAAATAAAAGACGAATTCACTTCAGTTTTAGAAACCATTTATCGTAAGCACTATAATCACATTTAAGTTGAAATCTACCCTACTAGCATAGCCTACAAGCATCTTAACACATAAGCGATGACGTTAGATCTACTTAGCTCCGGAGTGGGACGACGCCCAAATTTCAGTCTCTATCAACGTGCCAGTTTTCGGAAAAATTTCTTTAGCTGTTTGCCTAACAAGAGTAGCTGAGAGGTTGAGAATATAATAGAATTATACAGGATATATCGCTCTACGGCTCCATGGGCATAAATGCCATGTATTCCACAATTTATTATTACTAGGGTACATTCCACAAACACATTGCTATCAGCACTTAGAAGCGTTTCGTAGCTTATGTTTAGTCTATTTTTGCATTTTTATACCCTCCCATTTCATTCTCGTTATAGCGATTAAAAACTGAAATAGCCTTTAAATGATAGTCAAATTGCTGGTCAACAAACCCGTTTGGGAAACGATCTTTTGCATATTTCTAAGTGCCGAAGAAAGCTGGCCAAGTGTGGTGCCTGCCACAGCATCCATATCGGATAACCTATCGTCTGGTCGCAGAAAGTGTAGAAGACGAGTTTTATGAGTGAAAGTGAATAATCACAAGTGACATGATCTCTAGAGAGGTCATGTCAACCACAGTGCCTCCTAAAAAAGTGACTTCTACACGTGTCGTGTCGTCGCGCAAGTATTGAAAGCAGGATCTTTTCTCGAAGTCTTCTGAATGCTATGGAATCAGTAGCACCTTAAACTTCTAAGACTTCCACTATTTTTGTAGCACATAGAATGGTTGTCTTTAACGCAATGTAGAGTCCAGATAATAGAGTAGCTCGCGACTTATGGGACAAATACACATGTGCTCCTCTAGATGCAAAATATCATAGATCCTATCATTTCTTTTCCGACTCGACAAATGACGTCTGTGATTCTTTCAGAGGCTAAGAAAATGAACACACACAAATCTAACTAAAACTTTAAAATCAGATCAATTTTCTTGATTATTTTCAACACCGTGGAGGACCAGTAGTTGCCAAAAGAACATTTATAGTTCTATCACAAATTCATGGAAAGGCGAAATATCCACTAGAGATGTAATGACAGCAATCATATGCATTGAAAATCAATATATTGCGAAAACCATGGAAGCTCTCCAATTTCCAAACATTCTAACACAATGATGCTGAGATATTTGCAAAACTCCTGACCGCAGATGTCTGCGGTAGGGAACGAACGCGCTAGTGTCCTTACCGGGGAGTAACGCGTTCACCATCACACCATGCGAGACCTTCGTTTTGCCTGCCTCTGAGCTAATTCTATCGATCTTTTGCCATCAGCAATCATCCGCCAGCGGGATTGATCTGGGGAGCCCAAATCGCTGCGAACCCAGTAAAGCTGAGGCTGTAGTTAATCCAGCTAACGGGTGTTAATGATGGCAGAGAACGACAGAACTAGCTGAGAGACAGGCTAAACGATGGACCCACATTGTGTGGTGGTGAATGCGTTGCTCTCCGAAAATGAGAATAGCACGTTTGGTCTCCACCGCAGACACCTGCGGCCCGGCGTTTTGCAAATATCTCAGCATCATAGGAGTTATATTTCGCAATATACCCCGCCATTAAAAATAGTAGGGAGTAAATAAAACGGTTAACAATCAAACAAATTTATTCTTACAAGTCCATGCTTGCTAAATACGCTGAAGAGTGTTATAGTGATAAAACATCAGCGCTTCTACATCATAAGACATTCATAGATTGGGATTCAGACCTTGTCTTGACCGTTCCAAAATAACGGAACGATGATATTCCAGATGTGTCGTTTTCTTGTTCAGCAATCGCGAGGTTTTTAAACAGCATACATTTACTTCCATAAAAACACAATACAATACAACGCTAGCTGACGTTTCGGCAGTATCGCCTTCTTCAGAGCCTGGAAGGGTATGCTGATATACAATCTACTAGGCCAAACGTTTCAATAACACTTACACAAAGGCGAAAACTCTTCGGTAATTACATGATCAACAGCTTCTCGAAAAACCCACCGCTTTTTCGTGACTTCCAATGAGGAAGTTTAGAACAGCTGATTATAGTCGCATGTGGTTGACGATTGCGCCATCCCGCATCAAAAATCGATGCGAACGTACGGGATCAGGTCGCGTATGATCTCCGGGCATTCGTCCCTGCTATTCATTGTAGGGTTACATACGGGATCAGGTCGCGTATGATCTCCGGGCATTCGTCCCTGCTATTCATTGTAGGGTTTTTGGCATTGATCCAAAAAGCCTCTAGGAAATCAAATCAAATCAAATCAACTTCCTCCGCCGCTGTTTTCAACATCGAGTCGTGCCGAAGTTTATAAAACGAAAGCGACTTCACGAGATATGCGGTCAACCAGAGGGCAGCCAACAAGTACGAGGCATCGAAATGGAACTACTTCCAGCTGCACTACGAAGCAAGCAGAACGAGATGTTTGCCAGAATGAAGAAGTGTGCAACGAAGGAACATTTTTGTGCTTTGTATTTGGAGGATCGCCTTTGGAGGAGGATAGTTGGTGGGTCGCAGGAGGAGATGGACAAATGCTTCGAATTATTAAACGAGCAGTCTGAGTACATAAAGTTCACCCGGGAGAAACCGAGAGAAAACTGGCCTCTGTTTTTGGACGCCAAATAAACCTATCAAGTAGCGGTTACCTGACAAAGTGGTATCGAAAGCCAAGTAACAAGAACATCCTTGTCCATTTCCTTTCTTCCCACCCTTCACACACAAAGAGGGCTATTGTGAGAAACATG